TGATTGGCTCTAATCAGTTTAACCAAATTGTTAACGTTGATCAGCGCCCAGGAAACCGGGGGTAAGTCTCTCAATATCTAAGATAGAAATCTATATTATCTACGTTAAAAAGTGGATCCTTAAAAATTTTATATACCAACGCCGGGTTTCGCTGCTAGTATTATGTAAAAAGTAAATGATAGGGGTCATTTTTAGTAGTAAAAGTCCACTCAGTGGCTCAAACCTTTTCTAAATACAACTTTGAATATATCATTCAAAGAAAAACTTATAATCAACAATTGTTTTTGTACAAATTGCAGAAAATTTGGGCGAGTCTCACTTCTATTTTTCATTTAGTTCTCCAAGTCTTAAATGAAGAAATACGTATTCCTGGGCTCAAGAATTTCCAGTTTGTCAAAAATAAAAACTAATCAGAGGGTTACGATAAAAGAAGAAGACGAAGATAATAACGTTAAAAAAACTCGCAAAATAAATTTACCTGATGTATAAATATGATGTTCCGAATCGAGATCATCTTGCTCTAGTGTGGTTGAAACCGTATCTGTTCTTATGGCGGTTGCAATGTGAGGGACAGACATTTTTGAAAAAATTTCTAAATGTTTCTTCGAGAGTGGAAATGCACATCCGATTTCCATTTCATCGGAAAAATCAACTCCCTTATTATTCGTGGTTTCTTGGAGTTGCTCATTATGTCGGAAATTTTCATCTTCGAGTTCATTATTCTCGGTTTCTTTCGGCCCCTCTGGCGCGGTTAAAACAAGCCCGCTGTCGGTGAGAGCGCTGTACGTTCGACTATTTGGGTCCACTCTGAGCTGAACCACTGCAAAGGTACTCACAGGCCAAGTCTTGCTGTGATTTAACGTCATTTTGTAAAACGATTTTCGAGAGCATATCTTATTGCAATTTCAGTTTTAAATGCTTCTACTTTTTCCTTTTCTTTTTCTTCTTCGAAAGAAGTATCTCCTGAAAATAACGCAACAATTTAAGAGTTAATTTACTGTAGTTTATATTTTATCAACCTACAGATTATAATTATGATAAAACTAAATTTATTGTGATCATCTTTTTGTAGTCTTCGCATGCAATCAGTAAATGGCCTTTAATT